GTCCGGCTTTAGGCCAGCGTCTCTGACTCTGCTTCATCTTGTACCTAAGAAATACTGGTTTATTCTTAGGTCTCCAAGTCTTAGGCAGGTGATTTTATCCTATCACCACCCTGTGACATAGGGAAATATTAATCCCATTTCCAGAACAGAGATTGGAACTTTGCTTAAATTAAATACCAGCTAACAGACAGGCTAAGTTCTTGGCAGGGACGGGAGCTGAGCAGAGATCTTGTCTGTCCCAATCTGTGCCATGTTCTCTAGGACATCATCTAGCTGTAAGTGCTTATGCTGCTATCTCTGAAGCTACCAAGTAAAAAGTCTGGTAATGACCAAGATTATGACAATTCTAATTTTATATATGTATTTATATATATATATAAAAAAAAAGTTTTCTTGTTTGAAGATTGCCTGTATGTAGGTGCCTTTCCCTTCAATCAAAAGAGTTTTGCATTTTTTCCTGCCTTCACTTTCATCTGACCTGCTGTTGAAAGAGCAATGTGTGCAGCCTCCTCTAATGAGGCAGCTAGGAGAGCGTGATAGCGTGGTATGAGTGACTGCACTCCTTTTCTGCAATAAAGGCAGATTTTCTGTTCCTTTGTAGCCCTGTGTCAGGTTTAGGGAGAAATAGTCCCTCGATCATGGTGAACTTGGAAGTTCATTACTGAAGTGTTGAGTATTGCTGTCCTGAAACTGAGCCATGGCCAAATTAAGAAGGTATGTATTCAGTAAATCTTTGGGTTTGGAGTCCCTGCTGTGCTACAGGAACATGATGCACCAAGAAAGAAATTTTGTGCTTCTTCAGTGCTTTTTCCTTAAAAAGGTGCAGGAGTTTCAGTTTCTTGCCTGAACTGTTCAGCTTAAGAAATTTTCCAGCATTTGAAGTGGTGACAGATCCCCATGGCTTGCATTTGGGTTTCTAATGCTTTGTGTCCAGAGATCCCAAGGAGCTATGTATTTATCAAGTTCAGCTTTTAAAGCCCCTCTGTGAGATGAAATTATCATTGCTTGTCAGATGGGAAGACAGCAGTACCTAGTGTGACCTGCCCGAGATCACGCTGCAGACCCGTGTCAAGAGAGGAGTGAATTCTTTCCTCCCTTAACTTCAAAATCATCCTTTCATGAAAGGGAAGAACTTGCCTCGTTACATAGACACGGGCAATGTTACACATCCTAATATGCTCCAGTAAGAAATGCTGTCTTAACAAACAGTTTTCTCATAAGTGGCACAGTAGCAGCTCTCAGCTTGTTTTATTTCAGTGGTGGACAAATTCACCTTTGGGGTTGCACTGTGACGGCTGAACTCATCCCTCCCATAACCTGTGCATCATCTCATCCCGGGCTCTGCACATAGGGCCGGCTGACATCATAAACAATTGCTCTGTATAGCTTTAGTAATGTGAGCATTAATATTGATCCAGCACTGACTTCTCTAACAAGAACCAAAAAAAAAATTAAAAAAAGTATCTGTTATCTTGAGAAACCTCCCAAACAGCTCTAGTCTCCTTTCATTACAGGAGAGAGTTATTAGGGCAGATGGCCGAGGTGATATCCGTTTGACCTATAGATGCTAACTCAAGAGTCGGATCATTAATAAGGTGGCCGGAGATAGGGAGAGATGGCAGTAAAGAGAGTTAAAGAGCAATCCTGTGCACAAAGGATTGCGCATCGAGAAGTGCTGTGTAGCGAATGAGATGGACAAAGGTGAAAAAGTGGCCGCATAGTTTTAAATGCTCATCGCTTAAAAGCTAATGTTTTCCCATATTTGGTTCCTGCTCTGGTGTGAATCCTTTGGGAGGAAAAAGAGCCTGTAGCTCTTGAATGCAAGACAGAGATTTCGCTTTCTCTAATTAACACACCCCCCCAAAAAAAAAATGCTTTATTGTTTTCTGCTGTGGCCACAGCTGCGGTGGCTCAGGTTTGAAAGCCATTGCCTGGCAGAGAACCAGTCCTCGTTGAGGATCAGACCATGGCCTTGTTCCAAGAGAAATTTGGATTTCATTTGGCCACGATAGGATTCCAGATTGTCATCTGAGCATGTCTGAAAAGTGGTGAATGTGTGTCAGTAGTTAAGTGCTCGTGAACTTCCTTAGTCCCTGGATTGTTCAGGACTGACCCAGGCAATTTTTTCCAGATGTTTTGGGGAATCCAAGTCTGTGTAAAAGGGATGGTAATGCTTCTGCTTCCTTACTAAGTTGTCTTTGTGGCTTGCAGGAATGTGCATGAAAGCGGGAGCCAAGACACCCCAATTTCTAGTCTCACCTCTACAAACTGCACTTTAACCTTTTCTGCCCTTCCCTGGCATCTCCACACAAGATCACAGAAACTTCGTGGGCCCGGTGCAAACTTTACTTGGCCTTATTAAAAAAAAAATAAGCATTGCTCTTTTTTTATTGTACAAAACTCCAGTCCCTGTTCTCCAAACCTCCTCTGAAATTGTTTTTTTGCCTTTGATCCAGCAGCTGCTGGTATTCTGCAATCCTGAGTAGGTAAAACATGAGAAGCACCTTGGGATAGGAAGGAGTTACAAAAATATGAAATATTGCAGTGCACTTCCGTGAGACATGGTGTAACAGAGTGGCTGTTTAAGCGGACACCGGGCAGAAGTCTTTAGCAAATAAATGTTCTGATTTTTCCAGTAAATGTAATTTTTTTACTATTTGTTGCAATAGCTTCTCTTCCACTTTATTGACTCTTTTTATCCCCGTGTTTTTTATATTAAAATGATTTATTTTGCTATCTCCAAAGTCTGCATGATCAAACCCTGTCTTTCCTAGTGTTTGAATTTGGCTATACTTTTCATCTTGTAGCTGAGGTAGAAGACTTCTCTAAATCCCTATTTTAATGTATGGTGTTTGTTTTAAATTTTATTGCTCTTTAAAATTTTAAATGAAAACAAACTCTCAGTGGTGAACTAAGTTGAATGGGGTTGGGAGGGAATTGCTCAGTAGCAACCAGTGCTTGTATGACATCTGATGAATGCTAATTCTTCATCCTCAAAACAGTTTTGAGCAGATGAAGGCAGCTGATTTCTGCAACAGCTTAAACAGAGATTGAAATGACTTCCATGATCTGGAAGTAGATTTTTTTCCCCCATAGCAGGTGCAGACTCAGTCCACAGTGATTCCTCAGTTATAGTCTAACTTTGCACTTTAAAAAAATTAATGTCAGTGCCCAGCCAGGCAAAACCTAACTCCCTAACATTTCTGTTTTTCACGGAAGGCTAAGACTTTATCCTCAGGCAAAGTCTTCTCTCTGGGCTGGCTGCTGTAAATCCTCTGGGCCCTGGCAAAAGCCAGAGTTGCTAGCTCATTTTACTTAATTTGTGATGCTGCCAAGATTTGTGCTGCAGCCCAGGGCTCTTGACTCAACTCTCCTAAATCACAGCATTGACACATTACAGTAGAGAAACACCAGCACAGAAAACCTGAAAATAAATGCCTTGAAAAGAGGTATTTCAGAAAGATGCTGTCTTACAAAGCTTTAAATGATGTTACTGTAACGTTATAAGTTTCTCAGTGTTTGCTTCTTTAAAATCACCCACTCATTAAGAAGCTGGGTTTTAACCACTGTCATAATAAATGTTCTTTACTATGTATTTCATGTGAGAATCTTAGGGCACTTGATAACTTTCCGCCAAAACCCTGCTAGACGAAATGTCATGCATTTTTGCAGGTGGGTAAACAGAGACATGGGGTAAAATGAAGTTGTCTACGCAGGAATGTTAATCAGCATAGGTGTAATAACGTAACTACTGCAAATATAAATGTGTCAGGTTAACGTCAGTGTGGACGTTCTTATTCCAGACTAAGAATCCTTTTTCCTGCTTGGATAATTCTATTTTGAAAGTGGGGAAGTGTATCCAAGAGGATAAAGTGCTTGGCTGTGATTGGGGAGATCAGAGGTTCTCTTCTTCTCAAACCTGCTGTGGATTTGCTGGGAGATCTCAAGTGAATTTTCTCCTTTCTCTGTGCCATAATGTCACAGAAGAAAAGAAAAAGAAAATAATTGCTATTAAACAAAAAAACCCCAGAGCAATCATACAGGTGGTATCCCAACTGAGTTGAAACAGTTGGTGCCTCATGTCCACATTGTACATGTTTGAGGTATCTTATTTCCAAAAGCTGTTTTTTTGGTCTTATAGCTTGAATGCCCACTTGCAACTGGAGCATGTTAGGTATATTCCTCTGGCAACATCTTTCATTTTGGTTTCACTACGGCAGGAAACCAGCATATGCACTCCAGGATTGCTCCATGATGCAAACAAAACAACAGTAAGCGGGGATGATGGGGAAATGCATTTCAAAGGTGTGCTCCTGATCCAAACCAGCATGCACACACACAATGCTGGTGTGTTCCTGTATAATCATAATAGATAACATCCCTGTGCAGCAAGCTCTTAAGACGGTATCAGAGACAGAACCTGGCAGATTGAATGGGGCTTAGCCCTCTGCTTTAACCTTCAGACTGTGCTACTTCAAGAAAAACAAACCAGGTTTAGGAAGACATTGTAACAGTAGTTAATCTGCAGTCAAAATTGTGTGATATGTAGGCAAGACAACTAATTCCAGTGAATTTTACTTTGATGTATGCTTTGCAGTCCACTTTGTTAGAGCAAAAAATGCTTCAACCTCTCTCCCTTCGTTTAAAATGAATGAAGCAGGTTCGTGTTATTGTAATCCCAACAACTACAGTAAGAAATAATCAGGACATTTTCAGGTAGAACTGACACTTTGGAGCTGCTCCACAAGGTCTGCCATCATTGGTGAGCTCTGCCCTTGTATCCTTTGCTCATGGGTTTGACATTACACTGCGCTGAGGGCACCTGCCAGTTGTGATAGTGGCTGATGTGAGACAGAGGAGGTGCCACGCTTTCCTTCCAAGTAGACCCTTTAGAAGCTGTTAGGTGGCCAGTTATCTCTTACAGGATGAGATGCATGTGAACATTTGCCCTGATGCTTGCTTGTTTCTGTAAAACACACATTTAATTATCCTAATGCTTGTTTGAAACGTTCTTTGTTACAGAAGAGGAAGAGGAACAGGTGCCTACCGATGGAGGTACATCTGCAGAGGCCATGCAGGTGCCACTGGAAGAAGAGGGAGATATGGAAGAGGATGAGGCCATTAATGATGAGAACTACTTGAGCAAGAGACCATTAGAAAGTCCTGATGCTGAGGAATTTCCTCCTGTGAAACGGCCAAAACTATCTGTTTCCAAAGGGGACACCTTGGACGGAGCTTTGGAACCACGTGAGCCTCTTAGCTCAATAAATACTCAAAAAGTACCACCAATGCTTTCTCCAGTTCATGTTCAGGACAATACAGACTTAGCCCCTCTTTCACCAGAACCACCAATGTTGGCTCCCATTGCAAAATCGCAAGTGCCAACCCCTAAAACTTTAGAGGCAAAGCCATTTGTACCCAAAACAAAGTCCAAAACAAGTTCTCCAGGACAGAAGACAAAATCACCTAAAACGACACCCTCACCAGTGGTAGCTGGAAGTCCCATACGTTCACCAAAAACTGGATCCAAAGAAAAAAAGTCACCAGGTCGCGCCAAGAGCCCAAAAAGTCCTAAAAGTCCAAAGGTTCCTGCTCATGTTCCCCAACCACCTGTCAAGCCTGAAACACCAAGTAGACCCCCTCTGGCTGCATTAAGTGACAAGATAGGAAAGGAAAACATTCAAGTAAAACAAGGACAGATGCCACCTGAGCCTGCCACCAAGCCAAATATTGAAAACCAGACTAAGAAAGTACCAGTAATGGACAAGACCATTGATGATTCAATTGATGCTGTCATTGCTCGTGCATGTGCAGAACGAGAACCGGATCCCTTCGAGTTTTCCTCCGGTTCTGAATCAGAGGGGGAGATTTTTACTAGTCCTAAAAGACTTTCTATTTCAGAGACTACAGCTCCTAAACCTTCTGTTTCTGCCAGTAATGCAAATAAGGCAGGAGCAACTCCAATACCTCCCTCAGGTGGAACTTCAAGTTCAGACATTTCATGGACAATGGATGACTCAATTGATGAGGTCATTCGAAAGGCAAACATGGGGACACCTTCTAATCCACCTACCAACTTCACTTATTTCTCCTCTCCTTCCGCTTCACCGCCAACTCCAGAACCTCTTCTCAAAGTCTATGAGGAGAAAACCAAGTTGGCTTCATCAGTAGAAGTGAAAAAGAAGTTGAAAAAGGAGCTGAAGACAAAAATGAAGAAGAAAGAAAAACAAAAGGAAAAAGATAAAGAGAAAAACAAGGAGAAGAACAAGGAGAAGGAAAAGAACAAGGAGAAGGATAAAGACAAGGAAGGAAACAAGGAAGCAAAATTTCAGTGGAAGGAACTGCTCAAAGATGATGATCTTGATCCCTATAAATTCAAACTAAAGGACTTTGAGGATGCTGACACAAAAGTAAAGTTGAAAGATGGCAATACCAAAAAAGAGAGAGAAAAACATAAAGATAAAAAGAAAGAGAAAGAGAAAGGCAAAAAAGACAAGGATAGGAAAGACAAAGAGAAACTTAAAGATAAGGGTAAGGAAGATAAGATAAAGGCTCCATCGGCACCTCTTGTGTTACCTCCCAAAGAAATGTCTTTGCCCTTGTTCAGCACACCAACTGCAATGAGGCTTCCCAGCATGTTACCTTCCTTGTCTCCAATGCTTCCTGAAAAACTATTTGAGGACAAAGAGAAACCAAAAGAGAAGAAGAAAGACAAAAAAGAGAAGAAGAAAAAGAAAGAAAGGGAGAAGGACAAAGAAAAGGAAAAGAAGGAGAAGGAAAAAGAAAGGAAAGAAAGAGAAAAGAAAGAGAAGGAAAAAGAGAAACACAAACATGAAAAGGTGAGCTGTTTAGATGAGTTGACATGGCATATTTGCTTGACAAATGCACATGGATTCCTGTATTTGCTGGTGAGTGTTGTTTAAGAGCTTTGAGGAGCGGTGTGATTACAGGTTTAGTATTTTTTAAAAGTAACAGCTCCAAGGCAGACATCCCCCAAGCATTTCAGGAATTGTCCCATCTCTTTGAAAGACAAAACAATGGAAGTTCAATTCTGTGAATTTGAAATGTGAGATTGTCCTTCTGGTTTTCCTCAACTCCCTTTTCGCTTTTAAAAGCTGGGGTTCAGACTCAACAACAGCACACACACAATTTATCTATGTAGTGTTGCAATGTGCAGTTTTGTTCTGTAGATTTCCACTAGTAGGGCCAGCAACCATATGCCTTTCATGTGAACTTTAAATTTAGTTTCTAAAAGTCTACTGTTTCAGAGCTTGTAGAAGCCTGTAAATTACCAGGTGGACAGAAATTAGGAGCAGACTGCTTTCAAATAAACAAGTTCACCAGTTATCTCAGATGTTCAGAAGAGTTACTGAATCCTCTCTTAACAAGACCGCCCCCTTGTTACTTCAGTTTGTTTGAAGTAAGAAAATTGTTTTCAAATTATGGTCTAAATGTTCAAATGTCACCTTTCGTTTTGAGTCTTATGCTGGAGAGAGAGAAGAGGAGAGTTAGTTTTCAAGTGGGTTGAGCTCCTTCCGCTCCTGTAACTCTTGCTGATTTACATCAGCCAAAGATAATTTCGTCTTTCCAATATCACCTAATCTTGAGAATATATTTCATATTTAAGAAATGAAACTAGCATATTTGCATGTTATCAGATTTGAAATCCCATTAGAAACAGCTCCCCTAATTCAAGGTTTGCTCTAATTTTTTGTCACTTCACCTTATAATACTCATTAAATTGTTAATATTTAAAAAAAGGAAGAAAAAAGAAGAAAAGAAAGAGATTGTCTTCATATGTGATAACCTTGGATACAGGATTTCCTAAATCTCTGTCCTTAGCCTTAGGGAGTATAAGTTCTGGTTTTACCTCGATGCTCTTTACAGCCTGCTTTGAGTGTAATACTCAGTTCGTACAAGCTCGAATTTGGGACATTCCTCCCTTTCCTTTTTTGCCACTGTAGCCTGTTATGCTACCCGCTGGACTTGAAACAAACTGCTGATTTCAAAACTTGACATATTTTTAAGTTGACAAATGGCTTTTCAGTGCAGAATCTGGGTGATCTGGAGAACTAACATTTGTCTGCTGTGGATGAGTCGGTGATCGACGGGGTGGTGGTCCAGTTGTCCATGTTAATTTAGTGTCTGATTTTAGACTGCAGCAACACTTTCACAGATTCCCCATTTTGTCTCTCTGCCCCTCATGCCTGAGATGTTCTGTCAGTATTTCACTGAGAATTTCTGCAGAGATTTCTTTTTAAGTTAAATATGGGTGTATATAAAGTAGAGACAATGAGTCACTTGTTTTTCATACATTCGGTTTTGTATTTCTTCTGCAAATCTCTATATCTAGTTTGCTTTAAAGCAATATAACAGATACACAAACAAATATGCTGGTAAAGCTTTGGTATAAACTGAACATATATATATTAGGAAAAGGAGTTCAACACTAATAAAAACTTGGACAAATTAAATTGACAAAGCTGCCCATTACCTTGGCAAAAAGTCCCTGTCAAAAGATAAACTTTAAAGCTAGAATGCATGAAAGAGTCCCCAGATAGAATTAAAATTTAAACTGATTCTTGATAGATAAGCTTTTTTTAAATCCACCTCTTTGCTGCAAGTCAGGATTTTAAAAATAAATTTCCCCTTTAAATCTCTTGAGCGATTTTCATTTTTTGCAAGGCCGCACTGCTGGTGTCCTGGAAAAATGGAGAGTTAGAGCTTTATCAGTTGGTGCCCTGAGGTATGTGGCAAAGAAGCTAAATCCTTGAAGATTAGCAAAAAAAATGCAGCACATGGCAATAAGGGGCTTATATGACTACTAGTATTAGTTCAGGTGAAAGAAGTATTGCTTATACATAAAACTGGACAAATCCACTGACAATGTATTTTTAGTTAGCTACAAAGGAGTCTTATATTGCTGGACTTTACCTCTTTGGTGATTTGGGAAGCTTAGTAATCCACTGTAAATGCTCTTCTGCTGGCCCCAATTCCCAGTATTACTCCAGAATGCTGCTCTTCCGTTTTAACCCCTAAAAGTACATGTTTCCTTAATTTAGCTTTTAGATCATACAATGACTTATTTAACCAGCAGTTGTGCTGTAAGAGCAAATGATCAAGTTACTGCTCGGACGTTTAACCTTCTGCGGTGCGTCCGCTTCAGAGGCATAAACGCAACCTGAAGGATGAGTTCTTGGGCTAACTGCAGTTTCAGCTCTTGATGGCCAGTAGAAAATACCAGATTTCTATTTCTAGTATTGCTATACTTAAACAAAAGAGTGACTCAGTGGTAATGTTTCCATTTTTGAGTGGTGTTATAGTTACTACCTAAGTGTACATCCCATCCTGTTGGGGAATTGAAACTTTTTATCAAGTTTTCCTTGTAATTTTGCCCTGAGCTGCTGGAAGACACAGAACAGCAACCAGTACTCTGCAAAAATGGCAGAAAGCAGCTGAAGACTGCATGCTGGAAGCATTCAATGGTGGCACCGAGGAAGAGAAGCTTTTGCACAGGCCTTGCCTGCACCTCTGTGCTCCGCAGTTAATTGTTGGGGTGCTGCCCTTGGAGGCAGAAGAGGAGACATTGAGCCAAAGCACTGCCTTGCATGCCCTACCAAATTAAAAGCAAACAGTTGAAGCAGTTACACCCCACTTGTACTATCGAGATTACCAGGCGTGCTGTAGGAGTGACTGAGCAGCTCACGAAGCAGCTGCTGACCCAGTTTCAGCTAACCTTAATACGCTGAGCTGTAAACTAAAGAAGTTGAGGAACTACTTCATGAGAAATGGAGTTATCCTTATGTCGGGGCAGGGCTTGCTGGAGCTGCCCCAAAGTAAACTGCCCTTACTTGTGAATCAAAATCCTATCATTGGTGTAGAGGAAGACCGGGCTATGCAGGATATAACTGTGAATGCTCCTTAATTTTCCCTCTGCAAACCCTACACACAAACCCATGTTGTAGAAAGATGCTTCCTCTCCTTATCTAACAAAGGATAAGATTTAGGATTGTTGTGAAGCCTAGTTTTCCTCCCACAGCACGCTGCAGTGTTGGTATTTCAGCATGAAGAAGTGTTTTAAGTGCTTTCCTTCTACCACATGAACCCACACCACCATTGTTTAGAACATCTTGGTGGTATACAAATAATAATATAAACGACCTTTATAGAAAAGATGGGTGCCATGGGTGTCTTTCTATGGCGTGTGCTGGAAGCTAAGCAGCAGTGCTTCCCTAGGAATTTTTGTATTCGATGTAGGCACTACAGAGGAGGAGAAACCTGCAGGAAAAAGGGTAAGGTAGTCTGTGCAAAGCCACATGCCTGAACCTCCTGTACCCAGGGTCCTCTATCCAGCGGATGATGCTACAGGTTAAGGTGCTGGGAAAGCAGGTAAGAGACCTACCTATGGAAAGTGATGGTGAAATTGTTGCAGGCATTAGGGGTTTCAGAGGAAAAAAGCTCGTGCAACACTCCAGGGGAATGACATAAAAAAATCATACTATATAAACAAAAGAGTAGAGAGAGGCCTGTGAATTAGGCTAATACATATCCATGAAGAGCTTTATAGAAAAGCACGGTTAACTGTGTCAAAACAGGAATACTACTCAGGCTGCAGCCCTTCTCTCTCTGGAGTAGAGATCTCCTAATGAGCAACTCCAGTTCTTTGGGCCAGGTGCGTGGCACAGGACTTCACCATTACCATTCCTCAATGTAAGTCATAATTGAGTCCTCCCACTCTGGCCTGCTGTCTCCTGCACGTCTTTCTGTGCTTTGAATTGATTGTTTGCCCTAACAGGAATACTACTCAGGCTGCAGCCCTTCTCTCTCTGGAGTAGAGATCTCCTAATGAGCAACTCCAGTTCTTTGGGCCAGGTGCGTGGCACAGGACTTCACCATTACCATTCCTCAATGTAAGTCATAATTGAGTCCTCCCACTCTGGCCTGCTGTCTCCTGCACTTCTTTCTGTGCTTTGAATTGATTGTTTGCCCTGCCTTTCTTTATGAAAGCTTTTTAAAACAGATTTCTCCCACTGAGATTTGCTCGGGTTTCCTTTTAGCATATGCAGACTAATTTTGTCTCTTTACGTTCCTGGACCAGATTCAGCTAAGGGGTTATTTTCTTAAATACGATGATGTACGTGCTCAAACTGAGATCAGTCTCCCTCTCTTTCTACATATATATACACATATATAATGTATATACACTTCTCATATATGGATACAAGTTGAGCAACTTACATATGGAGAATCATTACAATGTAAACTGTAAAATCTGAGATGATTCTGTACAGGTTTTGCAAAGCAGTAGCTCAATGGGAGTTAATTTTGGCAGATACTGGTTCAAAGAGTTTAAGGACATATTCAGCTGGTCTAAACTTCACCAGATACTGAGGTTGGAAACCAGACCATTTGAAAAATAGCCATTAGAAACCTCAGCCTGATTGCATCAAAAAGCAGTAGTTCTGCTATACCTATGTGGATTAGCACTTTCATAAAGTATTCAGTGTTGGTGCTTGGGGTTTATTTGCTTCCTCTGCATCTAATTTTTATTCAAGAGGATCACAGTGCATTTATGTGATGAACCTGGGAAATAATTGAATTTAAATCTGAGAAAAAAGTGTGAACACCAATGGGCACCTATCAAGTTTGAGTACTAAGGTCAAAGCATTTCGCGTCATTGTTTAGAAACAGACTGGGATTTTTTATGTCTGTAGAAAGAGACTACATTGGGAAGACTTGTTAACAAAGTGTATGAGCAGGTACAAATGCAATGAAATTTCAAGTTGATTTTTTAGTCTAGAATTCATATTTGTGATTTGCTATGGCTGGGAGCTCCCAAAAAACTCTGACCATCCATGCCACAGCACGAAGCGTGAGAGCACGGTGATCAGTCTGTCATAGTTTTGTCTCATTAAACCGATTTACCCTGTTTGGTTAACTCCATCAATGCTTTCATGAAAATCATATATTTTGGGAGTCTGCTTGCAGTCTTTGATTGATGATTGTGTTCCCTTGTACAGATAAAGGTGGAACCAGTTGTTCCGGCTCCATCACCAGTTATTCCTCGGCTGACGTTAAGAGTGGGAGCAGGCCAAGACAAGATGTAAGTACAAATAAATCCATCTGCAAGGTGTATGCTTACCACAGTTCATCTTGTGGTAGTTCTTATTTTCAGTGGGAAACACTTAAAAAATAGTGACATACATACACCTATGGCATCTTTTGACTATTCTAATGAAAAATCAAGCAGAATGCTTACCAATTGAAACTTTTTTTGATGTTTTACCCTTTTTCTTCTACTCTCCAAGTGGGACCTGTCATCTTCTATCCATTCTACTGTGTTTCTCACTCCATGCCTTTCAAGGGCATGGATTACAAGACTCCATCTAGACTCGTATGATGCCTCCAGTGATATTTAGTGAGGTTTCTGTAGTAGACGGTTATCCCTAGTGTAACCTACAGCTAAGTTTCATAATGCTCTTCAGCTAACAGTTGTTTTATGCTTTAAAACATAACAGTTGAAATTCCTTTATCCGCATCTGGTTTATTATAACTGTTGATGATTATTCATGAGTGTACCTAACGCATTTCAAATGTTGGTTCATTAGCTCCCTAATTATTGGGTGCTGTCATACAAATAATAGCTACTTTGTACTGTATGAGCATAAATAGGATGATCCCTATCCTGAGATCACACAGCATAAACAGGTGGCTGGAGAGGCTGGGGTAACCATGCGTCACTGTACTTTTTAGGCTGGTCCCGTGTTGTACGTGAAGGGTTTCTTTTAATCAGGTTTTTCGTGTTTTAGTAGCACAGAGCACACGTTCCTGCCTAATGGTAAGTATGGCCACCAAACAGATTTTTTTTTCCGTTCATCATATTAAATATTGCTAATGTAGTTGTTTCTCTTTTATAGCAATTCTGAACTAAATCTCCTAATCGCTAATTTTTCTGCTTTATAAGTTAAATGGCTTGTTGGATGGTTATTCAGTTTTCTGTGCTTTCATGCCTCTCTTCAGTAGGTAACTGTTTTACTGGTTTGAAGTTGTTACAGGACTTCAGTCATTTCTTGGTTTCTATGGGACAGCCTCACCCCAAATATCAGGACCTTTTCCTGCTCTTGAACCGTTTCTGCTTTCTTCCATTCACAATATGGAATTTGAGTGTGATCTAAGATTTCTGTGCCTCAGGTGTATGAAAGCTCCTGCTTTCTCAGAACAGTTGTCTGTCCTGCTGTGCAGATTTGAGTGTGAATGGGTGGACAGACTGTCCCTTTAAAGCCCACAAATCCATTTTCCTCCTTGAGAAGCTATGGATACTTTTAAACTACTCATTCTCAAGGACTGTACAAGTGTTTATATGGGGAAAACTAAGTCATATTTTCAAGGCAGAACTTCTAAATTAAAGTTCTGAAGCCATATTTTAGCACCAAAGAGTTGACTTTGCTTCCCATCTTATTGCAGCCCAGTCTTTCTCATACCCATGCACATTTTAAGAAGAGACTTCAGACTCCCATCTGCTTGCTACAAATCATGTGGGTACATAATTGTCAGCCCTGCCAGCCTGTAGTGGGTCAGAGATACTGACATCTTGTTTTAATGGCCTTTTGGGAAACTCGCTTCTGTCCCAGTTTCCTTTGTGCGTCTTTATTGGCACCATGACCACCATCTGAGGACCTCAGATGTTGTGATCCTTAGCACGGCAGAGCCGAGAGTTTAACCCCGACTCCAGGATGGGAGATACACAAAGCTGACTTAGCTCAAAGTTTCTAGACAAAATAGGGGAGAATTAAACACCAAGGCCAAGATCTTCAGAGACAGGGGAGTCCTGGAGGCAGCTGGTAGGAAATGCTGAAATGTGGTTGTGCTCCAGCTCTTTGCAGCATCTGTACTGGGCTTAGGAGGGGAACTTCATCTTCTCCACATAACACTCATCCTTGAGATTGCTTTAGGCTGCGTAACCAAACAAGATTTGAGTCAATATTCCGTCTCTAGTTGCTTACTGGTTTCCCTTTTCTACCTTAAATATCTCCTCACTGCCCACCATATTGGCACCCTAAAGTTGCCCCAGTGTAATGGCTGTATCACACAGTTGCACCTTCTGGCTGATGACAAACAAGAACTTGCAGAGCTTTGTAATAGCTTTTAGGATTTGTCATAGTTTTCCAAGGCAAAATCCAGGAAGAAATTTGCCATTACACAAGTAAATACAGTTTGCGCCACGTGGCTCTGGGAAAACTGTTTTGTGTTGTGTCTCGATCCAATGTCTAATGCGGCAGGACTCACAGTGGAGCTATCCTACTCTAAATAATACTTTTGCTTTCATCCTCAACAATTAATATGCAGCCTGAACTCAGAGCATATTTTAATTTTCACGTATTGTGATCATTATGAAAAGGACTGGTGTGGCTCTGAGGCAAAGCATTCCGTAGTTGTGTGTGTGGCTTGGACCTCTGAAGTAATACTGGAAGTCTCTGCGACCTGTATTTTAAGTTACTAGTTGGAAAGACTGAAAAAGTAGGATCATCAGCCTTTTAAGTAGCTTGTAACAGGCAGAAACGAAAGCTTTTGTGACGTGTTATGGTAAGGGAAGGTTAAACTTATGTTTCATCTGTGTTGGTAATGGAGTTCTGAATATCTGGTAATTATCCTATGGAAAAGTTGTGTTTCAGTTAGCATGTCTCTGGAGATTACTAGCATGAGATTGTTTGAGAATACCATGAATCACAATGGAAAGGTATGAGAAAAGTTTTTGGGGGTTCATAGAATTTGATGAGTAAAAACTAGATGGAGTAATGAGTTCTTTCAGTTTCCTCCATTAGAGAGAAGAGCTGTTTGGAGGCTTTTGGAAGTACTTAAGTACCTGTTCAACTGGAGGTTGGTTTGTTTGGGGGAACTTCATATAAAACATTGTCTTTAATGGAAGTACTTACAGGTCTTGGTAAGGCCACGAAATCTTTCAGGTGTTTGAAGAAAAAGTGTCAGGTTGGTGGTGCTTAAAGTGGAGATTCACATCACACCATAAACACAGCACAACAGCAACACAGATTTACTCAAATAATGCAGCAGTGGTGAGGAAAATGCCTTTGCAGTGTAGCAAACAGTTTAGTCTCCATCATTTCACTTCTTGGCTCCTCTTCTTGGACCAACATACAAAGCAGCGATGGTAGCGGCAGAGAAGTCTCCTTCCTTCTTGTTTCTGTGAATATGAGTACATATTGCTCCTAGATTCAAAGTAATATTCGCATTCGAGCTTGTCTGGTGTGCAAATATTCTTACATCACACATCAGTTCAAAAGAGATGGCTATTAATAAAGTTAGGTTAATAGACATGAAAATGTACTGTTACTGAAGGATGGATAAACCAATATTGGGCAACCTGTTCTACTTTAGGGTTTTTTTGCAAGTGTTTTAACTGCACAGTAAAACAAGAAGAAAGTAGATGATAATCAAAGCATTTCCATCTTAGTTGTAAACAATTACAGCAATACTTGCATGGGTGCCACATTAGAAGAAATTTACTGGATTCCATTCTAATGCAATTAGAGCTAATTTTGTTCTTTAAATGAATAAAAGGTCAGCTAGTAAATCTAGTTTATCTCAAGTCCAGGCTTCAATAAATTGTTTTATTTAATTTGTTGTAAAAGATCTTATCCTTAATGGGCCTGGCTCTTATTGGTTTGCTTGAGTTCTAAATTATTTATGACCACCTTTTTAGATATGATTTGAATGATATGTTGGAAGGGTTTTTCACTAGTTTTTTTTCCCACTCCAGTGTTATCAAGGTAGATTGCTAACTGAGTTAGTATAGGAAGGAACTAGAGATGCTATCTTTAAAAAAAAAAAAAAAAAGACAAAAGCTAGTGTAGGCTTTTAAATTTTAAATCAACTGCAAATGATGAGCAGAATTTAATACTTTTATTCACTTGCATCATGGTTTCTTTTTGTCTAGTTATTATTCCTAAGCACAATCATTTTTCATACACGTAAGTTTTTAAAAAGCATATCTATTGATGAGGTATTGACATTCCAGCTGCTGCCACAGTTGACGTAAATTTCAGAAAAAGTATATGCTGTAATTTTTGATACTTCAGGTGAATTTATTCTACATTTAAATACATTTTTTAAGAAAAAACGCATGGCTTCTGAAACTAATGCCAGACCACAAGCAGAATACCACTCACTGGTTGCTGTTTCAGTGCTTCTGTGACTTACAAGCATGATATATATTTTTTGTGAAATCAGGTCTGCAAATTTACCTTAAAATTTCAGGCTTTTGCTCCAGACTCATACTGCATTGTATCATAGCTCTGCTATCAGGAGGGAACCTGGAAAGCAGACATGAGAAGGGGGAAGACAGGTATTTTAATAGTGTTTAACTTGTAAACCTGACCTGCTGCTCTAATGAAGTTGCCCCTTGTCTTACATCTTCTTTAAGTCAGTAGATATGTGACTTTCTCCAAAAACAAATTGCACACATGCTCAGATATGTGTGCGTATGTGTCTATAAAAAATGAAAATTAAATAACCTGTGGATTGTAAAATAAAATCCTAAAAGGATTAAGGGATAGAAAAATATTTGTTATCCAGATATTTAATTGACTCCACTAAAGCTTTTTATCGCTTGGTAGGATATTATCAGTCCAAGGCCTAACATGTTCGTTTGGGGGCTCACTCGACTGCATGATATCCCCATGACAAAAGCCACCAGCATAGCTAGCTGACATCCTTTGTAGGGAGTCTCAAAACCAAGTGGCAATGTAGACCAAATTATTTTGTGACCAGTAGATGTGACCTCTCTGTGTAATATTGGTGACCCAGAAGCATACTTATGGGACTAAGAGGACAGGGGAACCTCTCCTGTCTCTTTCTGTTTTATTACATCGAGTTTCTGAGATCTAAGAACTTCTGCCGCAATAAGGTGCTCATAGCACCTATTTTTATAAATTGGCAAAATACCATGTGTCTCAAAAATGGAAGCCTGAAAGGAAATGTGCCCAGGTAGTCAAGAAGGCCAATGGCATCCTGGCTTGTATCAGCAATAGTGTGTCCAGCAGGACCAGGGCAGTGATCGTCCCCCTGTACTCAGCACTGGTGAGGCCA